GACGTGAGGAAAGAGCAGCCCCACCGCTGCCCTGGGCTGTCTGCCGGGACCGTGCCTGCGCCGGCCTTGGGCGGCCTTCGGCGCCGGCTCCTACTGCCAGGCAGAAGCGGGACTGGTGACATTGCAGGGGGAGTTAGGCTTTCCGTGCTGGTGAACACCCGGCACACACGCGGACTCTCAGTGCGGGTCTGCGCTCTTTCAGGATGACGACTTCAGGCGCTCTGTTCCCAAGCCTGGTGCCAGGCTCTCGTGGGTCCTCCAACAAGTATTTAGTGGAATTTCGGGCAGGAAAAATGTCACTAAAAGGAACTACCGTCACCCCAGATAAGCGGAAAGGGCTCGTGTACATTCAGCAGACAGATGACTCCCTCATTCACTTCTGCTGGAAAGACAGGACGTCTGGGAATGTGGAAGATGTAAGTGTCCTTCAGGCTGGAACGAACCGGCCGTGTAGATCATGTCCGGCCTTGCACCTGCACATGTAATTGTGGGTTTGAGGTTTGGGGGCGTTGGTGGGATATATGGGTTTGGTGCCTGTCACCAGCTGTTATGCTCAGGGATCATCCTAGACTTGAGGATTTCTTTGTCACTACGTCCACATTAAACTTTAAATATTAGTATCAGGGATTGAGCAGTCTTTGCCCTCAGAAAAGCTTTCTGTAATGGTCACTTAGCATTCTTTGTTCTTGGGAGTGAATTGTTCTTTGTTACATTTGAGAGCAGGTCAAAGTTGACCTTTTAACTAATCTTGGAATGTTATTCCCAAAACGTCTCTATTAAAAACCCTTTAACATCCCAAAGTCCCCTTTCTGGTCCCCACCCAAGCCATGTCCTGGCCTGCACGTGGAGGTCTGCCCTTCCAGGTGGCGTCTCCGCCCTACACGGGATGGCGGCTTGCTTACCTCTGTCCCCTCTGCACCCCACCCAGTTAGACGCAGGATCCAGCATGTTCTCCTGAGAGGCTGGGGACTCAGTGTGCGTGTTTGCGGGAGGCTGACTCTGCTCTTCTCGGCTTGCCAGGACCTGATTATCTTCCCCGACGACTGTGAGTTCAAGCGCGTGCCCCAGTGCCCTAGCGGGAGGGTCTATGTGCTCAAGTTCAAGGCCGGGTCCAAGCGGCTCTTCTTCTGGATGCAGGTATGTGGAAGGGTCTGTCTGTGTCTTGTGGTTTCTGCTGTCCTGCGATTAGGTGAGCAGCCTGCTCACTGATAAAGTTCCCTTGCACAAATGTGCTGGTGCTATTCAGATAGGGCTGAGATGGAAGCTAAAGTTTCCAGCGTGTTATCTGGGGTGGGGGTGGGGAGACTGCGCGCTTGTTTGTGGGTGGGAGTTTCTAGATGGACAGGCCCATGTCATCAAGGTGTGGACAGGCTGTCTCTGGTTCCCAGTGCTCGCTCTGTGCCCCTTTCCTTGGTCACAGGCCCTGGGTAGCTTTCCTGCTGTTTCCCCCCAGGTGTGCTGGGGCTGCTGCAGGTGTGGCCCTGGGCTCCCTCTTATCCCAGGTTGCCCTGCTGCTTCTGCCCTCTGTTGGTGGCCCCTGGGCTTGTTCTGTTTCTTGTGCTGTTACAGTGTTGCCAAGAATCATCTGGTATAGGGTCACACACCTTCCCTTGAGTGTGTGTGCTCAGAGGGCCTGCACACAACCCTTCCCAAGGGTTAAGCCACGGCCCCTGCAGCACTGTCTAGAGTAGGCACCGTGGGCCTGGGAGGAGGGGTCTCCCACTTTGTCTGTGCTGCAGTTCCTTACCTCTGCCCAAGTAGTGTGACAGCAGCGAGGACGTGAAAATGAATAGGTATAGCTGAGTTCCAATTAAACTTTACTTGCAAACACAGATGGGGGCTATGGTTTGCCAACTGCTGGCATAGACCATGTTTCTCAACAGTTTTGCCAAGAAATGTTATCTCGCTTTCATCACTTCTGCTTGTTTCCCCTGATCTTACTCTTATTTGATGCCTTTCTTTCCTATTTGCTGTCAGGGCAAGGACTGTTGGTCTTGTCCTCGGTGTGTCCAGTGCTCAGGGGTGTGGATATCTGTGTGTGTGTGCGCCTTGAAGGCCTGCCGTGGCCAGAGGGCAGTAGTGTGAGGAGAGCATCAGTTTGTCTCCTTCACTGGGTGAAAGGAGGAGGCTGCTGTGTAGAGCCATACTCTGGAGGATGGCATGCCAGGGCTCCGTGTTCTGTGACGTGGGTGTCACCCAGTACCTGTGGTTGTGGCGGAGGGAGACAGCATTGAGCATAGCGCTTACCCGTCTGGGCTGGGTCAGAAGAAGGTGGCAGCTGTCATGTAGCAGAGAAGCAACCGCTCAGGTGCCTGCTGCTCAGCCATGGCTGTTCCCATCCCCTGCAGGAGCCCAAGACGGACCAGGATGAGGAGCACTGCCGGAAGGTCAATGAGTACCTGAACAATCCCCCGATGCCTGGGGCGCTGGGGGCCAGCGGGAGTAGTGGCCACGAGCTCTCTGCACTTGGTGGTAATGAGCATGCCCAGCTTTGCTATGAGGCTGGGCACAGGCCTGTTGTGGTGCGGTGGGAACAGTAGAATTCCGTCTGTGGGTCTTACCCTGTCAATGTGGTGTCAGCCCTGTCCCAGGTGTGTCCCAGGTAGCTCCATGTCTGAGCCACTGTGTTTTCCAGGTGAGGGCGGCCTACAGAGCCTGCTGGGGAACATGAGCCATAGCCAGCTCATGCAGCTTATCGGACCAGCCGGCCTCGGAGGACTGGGTAACTTGAGCCACTCGGCTCTTGGGAGCCTTTGATACAAGTTGGAACTTTGCTGTGATTGCTTCTAAAGTCAAGTCTGTTTCTTGATTTAAGCTTCTCACCAGCCATGGCAAGGTTGTGAGCATGTGTGTTCCCTGTGCTCGTGGCCCTTTGGGGGCACCTGTTTGCAGCTGGGAGGGCAGGGTCTTCTAGGCCCACAGGGAGGATCCCAGCCTGGTATAAGGCAGCCTGGCTAGTTGATGGGTGGGGCTGGAGGACGAGAGCTCAGGGCTCTTGCGTGGGGCCCCCAGCTTCCTGCTGTTTGGTGCCTGCTGCCAGCCAGTGTTGGGGTACAGGCAAGTGTGTGTGGGCTATTCAGAAGCACTTGTTTTACTGGCCAGGATGTGGGGTGGGTTGTAAGTATATTTAATCTAAACTCATCAGTAGTATAATGGGGGTGAGAGAGGTGTCAATTCTAGAGTATAGGGGCTGAGTGATCACTGTCCTGCTGTCCTGAGGCTTGCCAAGTGTCCTTCTTGTCTGCCTGTCCCTTGGCTTTGGTGTTGGAAGTACCTGCCCTGAGCACATGTCCCTCTGCTTCTCACAGGTGGGCTGGGGGCTCTGACTGGGCCAGGCTTGGCCAGCTTACTGGGGAGCGGAGGGCCTCCAGCAAGCAGCTCCTCATCCAGGTGAGGCCTCTGTAGCCCCCTCCTCCCTCTAAACAAGTGTCTGTAGGATGTGGGGATGGGCCAAATAGGCAAGGAGGTGGACCAGCCCTTGGAGTAGGACTGCTATGTGGGGCACTGGGCAGGTGGGGGGCTGCTCCAGTGCTGTCCTCACTCTTGCCAGCTCCCGGAGCCAGTCGGCAGCAGTCACCCCGTCTTCCACCACCTCTTCTGCCCGTGCCACCCCAGCCCCTTCTGCTCCAGCAGCCACCTCAGCGACTAGCCCAAGCCCTGCACCCAGTTCAGGTAACGGAGCCAGCACTGCAGCCAGCCCAGCCCAGCCCATCCAACTGAGTGACCTCCAGAGCATTCTTGCCACCATGAATGTGCCGGCTGGGCCAGGAAGTGGCCAGCAAGGTAAAGAAAGTGCTGGTCAGCATGAAGCTGGGGGTGGAGGTGCCTGCTTTCCTGCATGCCACTAGGTCCTGTGGCCATGGAGCTGAGCCCTTGCACCTTAACCACGTCCGGCAACTTCAACAGTTTGGCATGTTGCTGCCTCCTGTGGGGCAGTGGGCCAGCTTGGAGCTGCTGATGGATATGTGTTTGCACCTAGTGGACCTGGCTAGCGTGCTGACGCCAGAGATAATGGCTCCTATCCTCGCCAATGCGGACGTCCAAGAGCGCCTTCTGCCCTACCTGCCCTCTGGGGAGTCACTGCCACAGACCGCAGAGGAAATCCAGAACACACTGACCTCACCCCAGTTCCAGCAGGTAGAGGCCAGGCCCAGGGTGCTGTCTGCTGTGCTCAGGGAAGGGGAGGAGATGGCCAGTCACCTTGTACAAGCGGCTGATCAGGCTGGCTGCTGGCAGGTCTGGGTGCAGCCCCATGTGGAGCCCCATATATGGCTCTTCTTTGCAGGCCCTGGGCATGTTCAGTGCGGCCTTGGCCTCAGGGCAGCTGGGCCCTCTCATGTGCCAGTTTGGCCTGCCCGCGGAAGCTGTGGAGGCTGCCAACAAGGGCGGTAAGTACTTGCTCCCCTACCTCTTGGCCACAGGCAGGATCTGTAGGTCTGTGTCCCCTGGAGCTGATGTCATGGCCTTGCTGGCCTTGATCCTGCCCCTGTGAGGAAACCTGGCCAGGATGTAGACAAGCCACAACATGCTTTCAATGCATTTAGACGTGGAAGCGTTTGCCAAAGCCATGCAGAACAGCGCCAAGTCCGAGCAGAAAGAGGGCGATGCAAAGGACAAGAAAGATGAGGAAGAGGACATGAGCTTGGATTAAGTTATTTGCTGTCTCCAGGGAATTGGCGTCTTAGTCCTGTGACTTCAGTAGTGGCGTTTGTGGTTTGTTGCACACCCTCACCTCTGTTCCAACCTACTAATAAAGTCTTTTCTTTTACCTGCTAACTCGGGCTTTTCTTTGTACCTTAGGCAAAGGTACAGTAACCCTCACCCCTCTTGTAGAGAGGAGGAGCTGCCCCTGCCTTGGGGATGTTCCCCCAGAGTCCAGAGAAGGGATGTGCCTGGAGGCAGGGCATCCCCCATGGGGCTCTGCCACTGGCCAGTTCATAGTTAAGCCCAGACTCGGTTCAGTAGAAGTTACTTTTTAATTTCTGTTTTAATAAGGAAGCAGTGATTTATAAATCTTAAGACCATCTTTAAAAGGTGAAAGGGAGAGAAAGTATAAAAACCCCATTTTACGATTTTACCCTTTTGTTTAAAAAATATAACTTAAACCATTTCTAGAAATAAGATTTATCACCCAAAGAACCTAGAGTCCAGATAAATACACACAAATGTTATCTATGAGGCACTTGTGAGAGGCAGCTTGTCACCAGGGGGAGTGTGAAGGGCTGGGATCCCAGGGGGCAGCACCCTACATGGCAGGGCAGCCACTAGCTCCCACTGCCCCCTGGACCCCTGCAGAGTGAGCCACCGTGATGGGGGTCTGGTTCACCACCAGCTTCCGCATGCAGCCCCTGTAGGCGGGGGGCCTAGGCTGCTTGGCCATGGGCTCTAGGGGTGTAAGAAGATAGGAAGACTAGTTGGAGTGGCAGCTGGGGTCTCCTAGGCCCTTCTAGGCATTTGTCACCCATCCAGCCTGTCTCCTGGGTGTCCCCATCTTTGGAGGGTGGGGTGGGAGGGTCATCCTGGTATCTAAGGGGTGGCTCCACTACCCTTGGCCAAGGGCACTCACCAGGCAGGCCCCCAAGGTGCAGAGGGGCTGCCATATGGGTCGAGGCTGCCAGGGATGGCCCCACGGTGTTGTTGCTCTGCCCATCCACCTCCAGCCAGAGCATGTTCCCGCCTTTGATCACTGTAAGGGAGATGCTTTGTGGTGGGACCTCCCCACCCCAGCCAAGCTCCACCTTGCCCCTCACCCCAGCACACAGCTGCCCCCAGGCCTGAGTCCTGCCCAGACTCCCTGGCCACAGGATAGGACCTCACCAGCTAGTCGATGCCAACGTCCGTCACATAGCAAAGTGGGGCTCACCACCCATGTGGAGAACTCTCCTGCCCCGTCGTCTGCCCACAGCTGAACCTAGGAGAGAAAGTGTCAGGTCCTGTGCCCCCAAGGTCACCAGCACAGAAGGCAAACTTGCTCCCCTACAATAGCCCCCTCAGACTCACCTGCTTATGGGACACCTGCAGCTGCAGGGAGGGGGGGCCCTGGACCCGGCCCAGGTGGAAGATCAGGCCAGCTACTGTCTGGGGCCGCACCTCCAGCTCCAGGCTCAAGTCTGGCAGTGTGGCCCCTGGGGCATCTGCAGGAAGGGACCATAATAAGATGAGAAGGCCCGGTCTCCTCTCCCCCACAGCCGAGACCCAGGGCCCACAGACCTAGAGTGATGACGCCCCCAGTGCCTGGGAAGAACAGGCCTTCCTCCAGGGGACCTGAGACACAGGGCACAACCCCCGCCATCTGAGTGGGGGCCCCCAAGGGCCTCCCATCCAGTCTTAGTCTCTTCACACAGCCACTGAACCTGACGGACACCTGTGGAGAGCAGATGGAACAAGGTCAGGCTCAGAGCTGCTGAGGAGGCAGGTGGGGGGGTTCAGGCCAGGGTCAGGAAAACACAGCTCTCACAGGGGGCTTGAAGTGGCTGCTGGCTGGGAGGCCCCCCACAAAAAGGGTGTGGGGCTGGAGGTGCCCCTGGTGCTGCTGTCGGGGCCCCTCCTGGCTCCAGGCCCGGCTGCCATCTGTCCTCAGCTGGATCCGACTCTTCTCCCAGTGCAAGGACACCTGGGATGGACAGGAGGTTGGTCAGCATGGGCTCTTCCAGAGCCCTGCCCGTGCTCCCCTCCTCCAGCCTCACCCTGTGCCAATGGCCAGTCCGTAAACGCTGACGGCTCTGGACACGGAGCTGGGGCCCAGGGCCTCCCGTCTGAGCGACAAAGCGTCCGTGGCTCAGGAAGAGTGCCAGGGAGGGACTGCTGGGTGACCGTGGGGCGGCGAACAGCAGGAGGCCTTGGGGGGCTTGCGGGCGGACACGCATGGAGAGGCGGGGCCTGCAAGCCAGGCAGGGGGTTAGCAGCCTGGGCAGCCCCTCCGTGCCCTCCCCAGCTGGGCCAGCCTTACCAGTCCCTGTGGGGGGCCAGGATGCCTGCAAATTCCAGGTGACTGGACAGGGGGCCTCCAAACTGGTATGAGTCTGAGAGGGTCTGTGGGTGCAGGGGTGGCGTGCAGGTGGGGTCCTGGGTGGGCTGGCGGCTGCGGCGGGAGGCCTGGGGGCACAAGACAGGATGTGCAGGGGGGACCTGCAAGGGGGCTACTCTCCCATGCCCTGCCCCACCCCCACACCACTGGTGCCCACCTTCCCAGCAGGGGCTTGCAGTCCTTGTGGCCTCAGAGCCCGGGTCGGAGGGTGCGGGGCAGGGACACAGCCCGTGCTCACGTTGGTGCCGCCCACGTTCTGCTGTAGGTCGAAAACACGCTGTGGCCCCAGGAGCCTGGGAGGTTGGAGGTGGCCAGTCAGCAGCTGGAGATGGCTGGCCAGGCCCCACCCCAGGCCACCCTGCTCACCGCTGCACAAAGACGTTGCTGATGCAGCCACTGAAGTTGTGGAAGGAGCCAGACTCAGGCAGGCCTCCCAGGAGGAGCCGTGGGGGCCCCTCAGGCTGTGGCTGGAGCCCAGGGGGCAGCCCTCGGTGTGCCTTCATCTGTTGCAGCTGGTCGTCCACATACAGCCAGACCCTGGGGGAGGAGGGCACAGTTCCCCCTGCTCTGTGTGACCCTCCTGCCATGGTGGGGAGGAGGCCCAGGCAGGGGCAGGCAGTGCCCCCAGCCCCAGTGGCACGAGGCCCAGCTCACCCTGTGGCATTGCTGTAGAAGGCGACATAATGGGGCACACCGTCAGCAAAGCCCCCTCGGGTTTTCACCTCAGTTCTCAGGAACCGGAGTGTCACGTGGCCTTGCTGCAGGGACACCTGGCACAGTCCGTCCTGGGGACAGTGGCCATGTCAGTGGCCAGACCAAGGGCCCAGACTCACTTCCTCCAGCCGAGACTGCAGATTGTGCCGCGCATGCGTAGCACGGCATGGATGGGCCCAGGGAGTGTGATGGGGGTGGGGGGATAGCCTCACCGGTGATGCCCGGTAGTAGAGCAGACCGCTATCCTGGACACTGCGGAAGCCAAAGCCAGAGTATACGTCTCCAGAGAGAGGTGGCACCTCAGGGAGTGCCAGAGGCAGAAAGCCATGGCCGTGGAAAGTCATGGTGCGTCCCACCTGTATGAGAATATCCTGAGTGCCTGCTGTGCCCACCCCACACCACCAGCCAGGACAGGGAGGGTTTCTCACCAGCAGGTCAGCTGTGCAGCCAGAGCTCACACCTGTCGTGTTCAGCCTCTTGAGGTCCACGTACTTGCCCAAAGCCTTGATCCCCTTGACACAGCCACGGACAGAGCCTCCAGAGGGGAAGAGCTGCTGCAGGCTGTGGGGATGAAAGTCAGGGCGCTGCCTCTGAGCCCAGCCATCCCACTGCAGCCCCACCCCAGCGCTGCTCACCTTGGGGGCAGCTGGTCAGGTGGTGCACCCCCCAGGTAATACGTGTCAGCCAGCTCCAGGGTGTTGTCCTGCTCCACGCTGAACACCGTAGCACGCTCCACGCGCACCAGCACACGCTTCCGGGCACCCCCCAGCAGGAACACCTGGATCTGTAGGGCAGGGAATAGGGGATGCTCCAGGGCCAGACTTGTCCCTGCCTCCTGGCCCCCACCCTCCTCTCCACTGCCCCAGCCCTACCGCCTTGCTGGCCGCCGTCAGGGGTGGTGGGGGCTGCAGTGGGATGGCCTCCTTCAGACCAGTACCAAAATTGTAGAGGAGCACGAGGCCGCCTTCTCGTACCACTAGGCACAGGAACTGGCTCTGGGGGGAACATGGCAGGGTCAGCACGGGGTGGGGCAGGGTCGGTAGGGCTGTGGGTTAGGCGGGGCATGCCTGGTGCTTCAGGAAGAAGATGATCCCATTGTAGGACACAAGCCGCAGCTCCTGCTCGAAGCGCTTGGTGCTGCTGATGTGAGGGTCGAAGCTGATGCGGGCAAATCCAGAGCCATCCAAGTAGGAGCCATCCGTGAGCCAGGGGTCCCCAGTTGATTTGGAGCTGTAGGTCAGAGGTTTTGGGGTCAGCTGAGGATGGGCAGGTGGTAGCAGGTGGGTATCAGGCCACACGTACCGGGCACAAGGCTTATCCACGGCTGTGTCCAGCTGGAAGGTCTGCTCAAAGTTGTAGAGACTGACCACCTCTTCATTCAGTGTGTCCATCTCAATGCAGCCCCGGTAGCCAGGGAAATGCAGGGGTGCGGGGGGCTGTGTGCAGGTGTCAGGGCATCAGGACCCCTGGCTTGAGGTGCCTCCCCACTCAGGACAGACCAGTGGGATGCAGACTGTAGCAGGACAGACTGAAGCTAGATGCCAAGGAGGAGACACGCAGGGCAGAGGGGCAAGGCTCACCGTGAAGTTGCTGGGGTAGCCCCCGACATAGAAGACAAAGTCCTCGGGCTGCAAGCTGAGCAGCCCCTCTGCCCCAGGTGCCACTGTGTCACCCTTGGTTTCATGGGCCATCTGCCTCTCCACTGTGACAGACATGTGACCAAACTGGAGGGTCCTAAGAGCAGAAGTAAGGTGAGGAATGGACAAGGGCCTGGGGAGAGGAGGCACATGGCCCTCCTAGGCCTCCCACCTGTCAAGGCTGACGGCGGCAAACTGCTCCCCGATGCTCTCGTCCACGCTGAGAGCTGCGAGGCCGGCCTCCCCCAGCCGGTACACCCAGTGCACCTTCTGGTCACGCAGAGACACGCCCAGGTAGTCCCCTGTGGCCTGCAGTGGCAGTAGAAACACAGGTCAGGACAGGAACCAAGCACTGTCCACTTCCAAAGGGATGCCCAGCTTGAGCTCCATCTACCCAGCCTGCCTGGTACCTGGCGGCTGCCCATGTACAACACAAAGTGGTCCCCGGCATCCTGCCCAGGTGCTGGCTCTGGGCTCTGCAGATAGAACTTGAGGGCTGTGTAGGCAGCGAGGTCAGCAAGGTCCCGTGGGGCACGCAGTTGCACCCCCGAGTGCCCGTTGAACTTCATGGGCACCTTGACCTGTAGGGGACATAGCCCATCAGTGTCCATCACCCGTCTCTCACACCCACCTTCCCTGGAGACTAACCCACCTTGCTGGCGGCTCCCCGGGCCTGGGCAATGAGCTCCCGCACACGGCCAATGCTGGCAGACAGTGCCAGGCTGGCATTGGGGGCCCCGCGGTTCTCTAGCAGGTTCAGCTTGCCTAGCAGCTGTGGCAGCGTCTTCTCAAGGGTGGACACTATGGGAGGCAGGCAGGGCCTAGTGCTCTGTCCAGCCCAGCCCTGCCCCTCCCCCAAGGGCTCCACATCCAACCTACCTGAGCGGCCTGCATCCAGCACTGCCTGGCCCAGATCCTGTCCCCGCAGGCCCTGGTATTGGCCCTGCCAGCGCTCCAGGTTCTCCTGCATGTCCCGCAGCTGGGACTGCACGCGGGCAGCTGTGTCCTGGGCTTCGATGGCTACAGCCTTGGCATGGGCGATCTTCTTGCTTGTCTCATCTGTGGTGGGCAAAGCATAGGCCCTGTGGTTTTGTGTCCCCAAGTCCTTCTGCTGAGCCGGCAGCAGGGATACCTACCCACCCACCCCTACATCTCATGAGATCCTTGTACCCTGCAGCTCAGTGCAGCCAAAACTGACCCTAAGTGCTCCCCATTCTGGGACAGGCACCCAGCCTCTCAGGTCAAAGATGGTCCCAGCATGCCTGCCTGTGTCACCTCCACCACTGGGTCCCCATCATTTATAGGGACCCCTCAAAAACCTGGTCAAATCTGTGCCAAGCCTTTTGGAACAAGAGTGTGGTCTTCCCCAGGCCTGGCTCCAGGCCTCCTATCCTCTACCCCTGCTCACCGGCCACTGCTCCTTCCTAGATGCCCTTCCTGTAAGGTGCATGCCAGCCCCTCTGCAGAGCTGCCACCTGCCCAAAGCCCTTCTGCTGCCTCTGCTCATGGCCCAGGCTGTGTGTACCTGTGGCCCTGCACTGCCTGACACAGGAGCCTCCTCTGTAGCACTCACCACAGCATGTACTCCCCAGCCTCATATGGCTAGTATCCATGACCACACAGCTCTGCTGAACAGCTTGCTACAGTGACACCCCAGTACCTCTGACCTTCTGGAAGGCTGCCACATACCTGTGTCCATGGCTAGCATGGCCTGCGCCTCCTGGATTTGGGCCACCAGCTGGTCCTTCTTGGCCCGGACATCACGGAGATGGGTCCCAGCGCCCTGAAGGGCGGCCCATGCTGTGGGAGAGGTAACCTCAGCCCTCTCAACCCACAGAGGACCAAGGCCAACACAGACACAGAGGAACAAAGAGCCCAGATGTGGGGCCCTCACTTTAGGGCCTCTAAGCCTCACGCCCCTCTGGCCCCTCCACCAACAGCTTAGCCCCACTGCTCGCCCTTTCTCGCTGACACCCCAGTACGCATGTGGCCCCCAACCAGTGAAGCACAGGCCGCTGTTCCTCTTGCCTCCTGGTCCCTCAGTGGCAGCTGGCACTCCCCAGGAGGCTGTCCGTGTCGGGCCCCTTCCAGAGCTCCCCAGGCTGACACGCACATTGGTGGGGAGTGGCGTTTGCAACACAGGGCAGCTACCTCCAAAGCCTTCCCACCTGAGTCACACAGCAGGCTCACAAATCCCACACAGAGATGTGGCCCAGAAGCTGAGAGTCCCTCAGAGCCTAGATGTCTAGATGGTCCCCAGGCACCCCCAGGAACCCCAGTGCTCACCACGGCTCAACTTCAGCTCCTCCCCGTGGGCGGCCTCCTCTATTAAGCTGCTGTTGGCCAGCCCCTGGCGGGCTCGGGCTGCCAGGCCCCGCTGCACCACCGACTGTAGACACAAGGACAGGTTAGTACTGTGGGAGGTGGGATGGGAAGAGGGAGGGGTTGCCAGGGTGCTGTTGCCTCACCGCCCATGTGTGGCCTGCCTGCTCCAGGGCCTGGCCGGCGGCACCCTCAGCAGCCCGCACAGCCTGGAGGATGCTGCTGTAGGCGTTGGCAGCCTCGATAGCCCTCTGGATGAAGCGGTCCTGGTTGACACTGAGGATGATGCTGTGATGGAAGGTGCAAGGGTCAGGGGGCATTGGGGGACAGGCATCCCTGCCTGGCTTACCTACTTGCCCCCAAGTCCAGCCTCCAGGCCTCTGTCTACCCCCCACCTGACAGCTGTGCCTTTCCTGCTCCTCCCTGCCACTCTGGGCTACCCCTTCCTGGGGGCTGAGAAGAGTTGGCTCCTTTAGAGACAAGGGCTTCACCTCCGAGAGCAGCTGCCCTTGGCAGGGTCCTGGGCTGTCCCCCAGGAGAACCTGAATCCCCTCCTCTGGCCCACACACCTGGACAGGTTGAGTGCCAGCTGGTCAAGTTGCTGTGCATGGGCCTCTGCGTCCTCCACCAAGCGCACCTTGCTGTCGGCTGGGGAGAAGGCCTGCAGCCTCTGCAGCAATGGCGTCCGGGCCCCATCCAAGTTGGCAGCGAGGCGCTCAGACTCCTGTAAGCGGGTGGGCTTAGTGAACCTTTCTCCTGCTTGTTACTCACCTGACCTGGCTCCCTGAGGGCCGTGCTCTGCATGCACGTGAGCACATGAGCCCACCTGCAGGCTGGGCCCTGGGGGACAGGGAGGAGATAGGTGGGAGCTGTGCTCACCTCCTTGGCTTGGTCCATGCCTAGAAGCAGCTCAGAGGCATGGGTCAGGATGTTGCTGGCAGCCTGCAGAGTGGCCTTCAGGGTGGCGTTGTCGCGGGACAGGTCCTGCTTCCGTTGCTGAAGGCAGTCGGGGGCGGGGGGGCGGAGGGGTGGGTGTGGGAAGGAGTGATAGGAATGAGGGATGTGACGGGGTAGGGGAGGCAGGGCAGATTGGGTCCCTCACCAGGGCTTCCTCCAGGAGCTCCTGGTTGCGGCTATTAAGTTCCTCAGCCTCCCGTGTGGCACCCACTGCCCTGTTCAGCGCCTCACGTAGGTCCATGAGGCCGGCCTCGTGTTGGGCCAGCTGGTCATGGGCTTGTCTGGCCAGAGCCTGGTTCTCCTCCCAGCGGCTGGTCAGCTGCTCCTGCACATGAGCCAGCACTGGCAGAGCCCAAAGTATGAAGGTGGTCACTCTGGTGCCCAGGCCCCTTCATGAGCCTGGTTCCCCTCTGTCCCCCATCTGCCCCTATGCAGCTGATCCCCACCCTCCGAGCTGACTTGCACCCAGGGCCCCAGGCTCAATCCCTGACCCTGCCTACAGGGGGCTGACACCACTCACATCTCTGGGCCTTGGCCAGCTCAGCCTCCGCTGCTGCCAATGGGGACCCCAGGTCATGGGTCTGCATCTCCCTGAGCAGCTGCTCCACTTTGGCCAGGATGTGGTGCAGCTGCTCGCCTGAAGGGGCCGATGCATTGGCCGGCCACAGGTGGCCCATCTGGGACACGAGCCCTGGGGAGAACTGGGCTGTCAGGGCTTGGTTCTGGCTTCTGTGAGCAGACCTCTGCCCATTGGCCCCCAAGCCTGAGGCCCCCCACCCCAGCATGCAGGCCCCCAGCATAGAACCCAAGTGAGGCCTGGGTGGCTCCTGCCTACCCCTTGCCTCCTGACCCAGTCTGCTCAGCTCCTATGGCTGCCTTCTTCCTTTCTTGCCCCTTCCTGCCTAATAGACCCTGCTCAGTGGCCAACACTCAGCTAATATCTGGCCATGGGGCCAGAGCCATGCTACACAGGGCCAGGCAGCCCTAATCTCTCTTCGGTCCCACGTCCATCTCAGTTGTGATTAAGGAGCCTGTGAGCGTGAACATCCAACCTGTGTGTGTCCCAGGGACCTTGTGAGGGATATGTGGCCTCCTGAGTTCACCTACCCTTGTACCTGGCCAAACTACAACCTTGCTTTCTACTTGAACCGGCCCTGCTTTCTGCTCCAGACACACCAAATCCCTCCTGTCTACACAGGTAGACTCTGCCTGTTCTTCAGGGGACACCCCCCCCCCAGGAGTGCCCTACCCTGCTCTGAGCACAGCCAGTCAGCCAACCAGCCCCTACCGCTCACAGCGCGGCCTATAGCCTGGATGGCCGTCTTCAGTGTCTGCGCCCGACCCAGTGTGGCCTCCGTGTCTTCCAGCAGCCGGCTCGCCTGTTCTCGGGCCCCTATGGCCTGTGGGTACAGTCCTCATCAGCCCATGATCCTGCCGGCGGGGAGTAGCTGGGGGCCTGGGGAAGCGTGTTGGCTTCTGAGCCAAGGGTCAGGGATGACAAAGGAGGGCCTGGGGTCTGGGACAGCCATGGAGTTGGGGAAGTGCTTGAGGGTGCCAGAGAAGAGGGGCCTCTGAGAGGGGCTTGCAGGGGGATTTGGGGATGAGGTTTCTAAGGGAGGGGCTTCCCAGTGTCCAGGCAGGGGTCTCTAGGGTCGTGCCTGGCTGCCCAGCTGCTCTGCATCCTGCCCGAGGCTTGCACTCTGCTGCTCCACTGTCTTCAGCTGCTGTACAGTCTGGGCGCGGGGACCCGGAGGGCTCCGGAGCTGGCTCTGGTGAGGGAAAAAGGTGAGCACCTGTACTGCAGGCAGGAGGAGGGGCAGCGGGGCGCTCAGTACCTGCAGGTCTGCAATGGAGGCGTTCAGCCTGTGCAGGCGGGCCCAGGCCGCAGAACTGGCGTTGATGCCCCGCAGCTGTTCGCGAATGGCAGGAAGAAGGGCGCTGGCCCGTTCCAGATCGTCCAGGAGCAGGACCACACAGTGGTCACACACTGCAGGCAGCAGGGGCTGTGAATCAGCGTCAAGGTGGCAGGGGCAGGGGATGGGGAGGACAGATCGGCTGGGGCCCTGGGGGCAGTGGGACTCACGGGGTCCCTTAGGAAACTGAGGGGGACAGCAGGGACCACTCTGGGAGGTCAAGATTAACACAGGTGGGGTGAGTGGGTAGGATGGAATGTAAGTATACCTTCGCAGTGGACACCACGGCCCCCAGGCTGGCCTGGCACAGGCACCTGGTGTTGCTGGCTACAGGTGTCACAGCGTTCCCCACTGAGGCCAGGCGGGCAGGTACAATGACCTGTATGGGGGTCACAGCGGCCCCCCGGGCACTGGCAGCCTGTGGTGGGGGGGGGCTGGGTGAGTGTGGACAACCTCAGGGTACTGCCACCCATGGTGCTCACCACCTTGCTGTGACCCTGCTTGTACTCACGTCTGCAGCCCTGCTCAGGGAGCCCCCAGTAGCCTGGGGCACACTCACGGCACTGGGGTCCCCCAGTCCCTGGTCTGCAGCGACACTGCCCGCTTTGGGGGTGGCACTCAGGACCCTCAGCGGCTGGTCCACAGGTGCAAGGGTGGCAGCCCTCACAGCTGTCGAAGCCAAAGTGTCCATCCTGTGGGCATGGACTACTGTCAGGGCTCGGCCTGATCCCTAGCACTAAAGACTCCTTAACTCCAAGGCTAGAGGTCCTACCCACAGGGCTGCCTCTCCTGAAGCCACACCCTCCAACAAGCTCGACCCCTCCCAAGTCCCCACCCAGGCCTGCCCGGCCCTGCCCAGCCCTAAAGCCTTAGGCCCCACCAAGCAGCACTAAAGACCCACCCAGCCCTAGGCCCTGATCCAGCACAAATGCCCAGCTCTAGTCCCACCCCCAGCACCAAAGCTCCACCCAGCACTAGGCACCAAACTTGGTTGAGCCCATAGCCCTACCTGACAGTGGTCACAGCGCAGCCCAGCCACACCTGGCTTGCAGAGACAGCGCCCAGTGTGGGGGTCACACGCCTCTGTCCCACATGGAGCACAGTCGCACCCTGTAGAAATGGGTCATGACCACAGCCCTGTCCCCTCCCACTTCCTTCTGGAAGCTCTCACGCACCCCCAACATGTGGCTTTTCACCACCTGGCCTCACTGCTTCTGGCTCAGATCCCCCAGGCCGCAGCTGCCCACTCACAGTACCAGCCTGGCCCTCTGCAGCTGCCCTGGCTCAGAGGGATCTATTGGCCCCGCCACAGCCTTTTCTGATGTGACGGGGGCTGACCATGACAAGGCTCAACCATGAAGTGTTCAGAAGAAGCTGACCAGGAAGAGAAGAGGGGACGAACCATAGGGCGTGTCAGACTCAGTCCAGGTCTGTGTCCTGACCCTGTCCTGGCTGGCTCCTAAAGTGCACCTGGTTGGCCCCCGACCTGTGCAACCTGTGCACCCCTCCCCAGAGTTGCCACTCCCTGCCTGGCACCTACGGGTGCAGTTGCCAGGCAGCAGGGCGTTGCCATAGAAGCCGGGGGCACAGCTCTCACAGCGGGGCCCAGTGGTGTGGCGCAGGCAGCCACGGCAGGCGCCTGTCAGGGGGTCACAGTCGCTGAAGAGCAAGTTAGGGTCACCATTGCCACTGCAGTCACAAGGCTGGCAGGAGCTGCCCAGCACCAGAGGGTTCCCAAAGAAGCCTGGCGCGCACCTGGGGGTGGGTAGGGCATAGGAGGGTGGGTGCTGTTAGTGGTGTGTGGCCCACCACCCGTTACTTCCTGGGGTCTGCACACAGGCCCACCCACTGCCCCTTCTCTGGCTCACCGCTCACAGGAGGCCCCAGCATAACCGGGTTTGCAGAGGCACTGAGTGTGGCCACCTCGCAGGATGCAGCCCTCGGCGAAGCTGCAAGAACCAGTAGCAGATGGGGGTCACTAGCACCTAGGCAAGCACCCTGTGCTCAGGCTGGGCCAGGTGTTGGGGACCCTGCCAACGAGGCCCAGCCGAGCTGTTCAGGCCCCCAGAGAGGGCAATGTGAGCCCAAGAGCTGCTGGATGCCGGGCCCAGGATGGGGGCTGCACAGTGAGTGTGGCTGTGGCCATGTTCCAAGCCCCAGGGTGGTGCTGCTGACTTACTTGTTGGAGGGCACTGCAAGGGGGCAAGGGCAGCTGATGCAGGGTGCTGTGGGGTCCTCGGGCCTGCTGCTCACGAAGCCGGCCTGGCAGCGCTCGCAGTGGTCCCCCTCCGTGTTGTGCTGGCAGCCCTGGGGCAGAGCAGATGATGAGCACCCACAGCAGGGGCCCATGTCCTGCCATCAGGGCCCCTCCACTGCCCCTAGCCTTATCAGGGACTCCATGCCCAAGGCCAGCTGGTGCCCGGCTCAGAGTACCTCGAGTTTCCCTAGACCACAGTTCACCCTAGCAGCCCTGACCCTCTGATGAATGCCCCCTACCACCCGACTCCCACTCACCACGCAGATGCCGGAGCCAGGCAGGCAACTGTCCGAGTGGCCATGGCACTGACAGGGGACGCATCGGCCCAGAAAGAGACCTTTGATGTCCCGGTAATAGCCAGGGGCACATTCCTGGGTAAGAGTGTCAGGGATGAAGCATAATGGACCCACCCACAGCAGGGCAGCCTGGGGGACCTACACCCATCAGCATACGCTGCCAAGCGGGCACACACCCATGGGGCACAGCCACCACAGGGCCAGAAGACCTGACCCCTTCAGGGCAGGCCATGCACCTGGCTGCCATCCCCCAGGCATGACCTCTCAAAGCCACACAGACACCCCAGCTCAGGAAGGACCTAGCCCTGGGGCTGGTGACATGGCCACCAGCAATGGTCACCAGCCCCAAGGCTGGGCCTCTCTTTCTCAGAGATGGTCACCAAGATTTCCCTTATGCAGCAAGAACAAAGCAATAAGAACAGTTTAGCAGGCAGGTAGACACATGGCGAGTACAGGAATGAATTGGGGCTCAGGTGACCCTAGTTAGGATGGCCCAGCTGTGTGCAGAGCTGAGTGGGAGGAACCAGACAAGCCCATGAGAAGTGAGTGGCTGGCCCAGCCTGTCAGGAAGGGAGGGCAGCAAGAAGAAGACAGCAGAATGGGGACAGGTGGCAGGGGCAGGATGGAGGAGCAGACACAGAGAGGATTACGCAGGATGGCGCCCGCCCTGACCAACCCACCTGGCATGAGTCCCCACGGTAGTTGGCAGGGCACATGCACAGCTCCACGTTGCTGGCTGGAGGCCCCCCACCCAGCTCGCCAGCCACCTCCAGTGCCACCCTGCGCAGGGAGATGGCTGAGGAGATCTGTGAGAAGAGGGCGCGGATCTGCAGCTGCTCCAGGCCGGCCAGTACCATCATGAGCTCCTCCCGGGACACGGCGTTGTGGGTCTCCGAGTGCCGAAAGTTCCCCTGCAGTTCAGAGATAGGAGCTCAGTGGAGTCATACCTGATGCAGCAGAACAGAGAGCCCAGACCAGACCCTCCCTGTCCCCCTGTAGGGGACAAAGGGCCACACAGGAGCCGTCACCCATGTAGCCAGCCCCTAAAACCCTGCCTCACCCACATACAAAAGTCAAGTCCACACGCATGGAAAACAGTTTACAAGCTTTTAAAAGGTGTCTCTCCACTCTTGAAAGAAATGAAATGTTTCTTGAAATGAAAGAAACAAATCTGAGTATGTGCAAACACAGGACTGCTGGCCAAGAGTGCTGGAGAGAAAAGACAGGGAGAAGACATTTGTTCTCTGGAGCCCAACAAAGGGTCTGTGCTGAGAATAACTCCCAGCTCTTCTAAGATGAGCAGAGAACCAGCAGGTCAGAGGGAGAGGGAAGAGGCCACCAGGCAGACAGGTGGCTCAGATAGGAGGGAGCTGAATGCCACAAAGCAGTGGGACAGCAGCTCACCCACTGGTGATCAGGGACTCACAGACTAGCAGGTCACAAGAATGTGACACACACAGGTGGCCAGATGGAGAAAGCCTGACAAATGCGTGCACAGTTCCATTTGCCATCGCCCCACTGCTCCTGGACTGTTTTCTTTCCTTTTTTTTTTTGAGACAGAGCCTCAAGCTGTCCCCCTGGGTAGAGTGCCATGGCATCACAGCTCACAGCAACCTTCAACTCCTGGGCTCAAGCGAGTCTACTGCCTCAGCCTCCCAAGTAGCTGGGACCACAGGCACCTGCCACAACACCCAGCTATTTTTTGGTTGCAGCCGTCATCATTTGGCGGGCCCGGGCTGGTTCGAACCCGCCACCTTAGGTGTATGTGGCTGGCGCCTTAGCCACTTAAGCCACAGGCGCCGAGCCTGGACCGTTTTCTATCACAGAGAATGAGCTGCTGGAGGAGAATGGGTCCCTGGATGCTCCATACCACCCACCTCCACCAGCTGCAGCTGCCCATGGTGAACATGGCCGGGCGCAGGGTACACTGGCTCCAGGAACATGATGCTCATCTGGTTGCCCTGGAGGGGGACACGGGCCTGGTGAGGGCCGGAGATAGGGCTGGGCCACTGTCCCACAGGGCCAGCTGCCTGCCTGCCTCCTGGTCCACCCTGACTGCCACCTGTAGCACCACGTCCGGCCTGCTCTCTGTAGGGATGAAGACATCTCCCCGTTGGGTCTCTGAGTGCAGCTCATAGCGGAGGGTCCCACCATAGGATGACACCTAGAAGCAGGACAGAGGGAGGTGACCTGGCTGGACCCCAGATACAGGCTCAGGGCCTGACCAGTGGTCCTGACCCCCAGTACTAGGCCCCAGGGCCAGGGGCTCCCTGTCCCTGGACATACCCTCTCTGCCCCTCCCTAGTCCCTCCAGGTCCTGGCTATCCTGGAAGTGCCCTCCTCAGACCTAGAACCCATGCTTACGCGGTCCCCCAGGTAGGAGGGCGGGGCATGCCAGTATAGCTCGGGGAAATCCTCGGGCACGTGCCGCAGGTCCACATGGAGCAGCTCTGCCTCTGGCCTCCGCTCATGAGGCACCACCTGCCGGTCACTGCTCAGCAGCACCCAACCCTCCATGTCCATGAACTGCAGCAACATGGTGGTGGTGACAAGGTTGGGTGTCCAACCTACATTCCAACATGCCCTCCCAAGAAGACGCCATCCCAGCCCAGGACCTGGCTAGCGCCAGCGTACCTCTCGGCGAGTGTAGACAGAGCTTCTGCAGCGCTCGGTGGCCCCGAAGCAGAAGCAGCGGGTGCAGCCTTTGGGGTTGATGGCATCAAGGGAGAAGGTCCCGAGGCGGCACTGGTCACACCTTAGACCCTGCACGTTCTCCTGGAGGCAGACAGGCAACAGGGTTAGTTGGCCACACACAGGGTGCCCAAGGCTGCAGGGCTTACTGCTGCCGGGTTGCCCACTGGGATAGCTCCCCCACATGCTTCCAAGAAGGCTGCCATTACCCAAAACGGCCCCTAAGGGCATGAGTTCAGCTGACCTTGCAACGGCATTGGCCTGTAACAGGGTCACACGTGCCAGGAGCAGTGCCTGCCTCATGGCAGTCACAGGGCTGACAGCTGGGAAAGCCATAGAAGCCTGGAGCACAGATGTCACAGCGGCGCCCGGCCACATTAGGTCTGCACCTGTGGGGACCGGGAGCCAGCTGAGCCTCCCTCCAGCCCCAGGTCACTGAGGCTGAAACGAGAGCCCACAGGAGTCTGCCATCCAGGCAGCATCTTCAGAGAATGGAGAGTGGTGGGCCCAGGGAGCATTACAGGGCAGGGTGAGTGCCAGGACCCCCTGGAAAGTGGAAGTTCCATCCCAACTGGAAGACCAGAGAGGCCACGACACTTGCTCCAGGCTCTCACCTGCATTGGCCGCTGTCCCTGTCGCAGGCAGGGTCTGTGAGCTCTTGGACACCAGGTCTTGAGCAGTTACACTCCTCGCAGCCTACCAAGGGGTGGCAGCCAAAGGTCTGTGGCTGGCACAGCAGGCAGTCAGGTGGGATGGTGCGGGGTGGGCAGATGCACCGGCCCGTGAGCTCCTCACATAGGCGGGCGCCACAGTCGCAGGCTGTAGGGTGGACATGGGGCTGACAGGATGTCCTCCTCCAATCCCACTCAGAGGCCCTAATTGTCCCTCTGGGGGCAGTGTCCCAGCCAGGCCCCAAGCCTTAGGCAGCTCCTCTGCTGGCCAGTAGCTGCCTAGAATCAATGTCTGCTGGTCCTTGAACCTCCCACACAGCTAGCCAAGTCCTGTACGCTACCAAGGTGTAGCCAAGTGGGCCACTGCTGCCTGAGGGCCACAGATAGCAGGTGGCAGAGCTGGCCTGCCAGGCTCCAGACCATTCTGACCACTGTGCCTACACTTTCTGGCCCAGATCCCTGCACTCCTGTACTGGGAAACCCCCCTTGAGTTCTAGCACCAGCCCCCTATTAGTGCTCCCGTGCTGGGCACTCACGCCTGCAGTTGGGGAAGCCCCAGTAGCCAGTGGCACAGCGGGAGCAGTCGCGGCCGATGACATGGGCACGGCAGGGACACTGGCCCCCAAAGGGCTCACACGTAGGGCCTGTGGCACCTGCTTCATGGCAGCCACAAGGCCGGGCCCCATTGTTATAGAAGAGGGACAGAGAGGCGGCAGCGTTTCGGCAGAATAGAGATGAGCTGCTGGGGCTGCACGGGGTGGACAGGAGTCAGGCACTGCCAGGCCACGTTCCCACCCAGCCCAGTCGAGCAGTGCCAGGCCCACATCCCCACTCAGTCTCTGCCCACAGGGGGCAGGCAGTCAGGCAGTGCCAGGCCCACGTCCGAACCCAGCCCCTACCCACAGGGAGGAGGAGGTCAGGCAGTACGAGGCCACATCCCCACCTAGCCCCTGCCCATGGGACCAGGTAGTCAGGCAGTGCTAGGCCCACATCCCCACCTGGCCCTAACCAGCACCCTGCCAGGCCCACCTGATGTGGTAACCCTGGGCAGCACAGTGGCTGATGAAGTCATAGGATTTGTCCAGGGGCTCCTCCCGGAGGTAGCTGGAGCTGTAGGCGTCCTCAGGCACCACAAGCACATAATCCTGGGGGATCAAGGGAGTGTGGTCAGAGCCCACAGGTAGGTAGGGCAGCAGGGGACGCTCTCAGAGATGGGCCAAAGATGTCCTGGTCTGTGTCCACATCCTCACTTGCTAGACACACCTTCCTCCTCCCTCTCTTATCACCCAAGCTCCACCTCCTCCAGAAAAGGCCACCTTGACCAAGGGGGCTGGTAGGACAGTGCCTCAGCTCTCAGGGCCCTCTGGAGCCTCCCAGGGCTGACCTGGAGGTTCTTAGAGGTGGAGGCTGCTGCCCTGGTCCCTGACATGGCTGACCACAGCAGGCCCAGCACCTCAGCTTAAAGACCCAGGTGGTGTGACAAGCCTAAGGATAGCCAGGCTCAGGTGGCATGCCAACTTGGACTCACCAGCCAGAGCCACCGGCCCTCGGGCACACGCACAGTCACAGTGAGCTCGCTGTCTGTCACATCCAGCAGGGCCTGGTTCTCACACACTACCAGGTTGCGACAGCCATAGCCATGTGGGCAGAAGCTGGCATTGGCATGGCCTAGAGGGGAAGGAAAGCACAGCTGGGCCCCTGCATTGAACCCCCTGGCTCTACAGTCCTGTCTTGGGCCCAGGATGCTCTTGGAGACACAAATGGGAGTGCTGGGGCCACCAAGGGGCACCTACCTGACACAGATGATCTGCCCATAAGGGCGGTCCCTTGACCCGTTGGTTAGCCATGGTCACACAGGGCACCCCTGGGTACATTCCCAGGCTTGCCAAGAATAAGATGCATCCTTAAGGACTGCATGAACCAACAGCTGGGCCCTGGGCTGTGCTCTTGGCTCACCATGTGTGACGGGAGCACAAAAGGCACCCAATGGCCTAGGCAGGTATGGGACTTCTCTGGGAATGGGGATGGAAGCAGGGCTGCCACCTGCAGGAGCCCCAGGCACCTACTTTGAGAACTGACAGCAGTACAGGGGTAGACACATTGCTCACAGCCAGGGAACACAGCCCAGGCTGTGGCACTCGAGATCTGGCCTATGACCCATAATGGCCCCTCCACTGCTACCCACCCAACACTCACCCTGCCAGACTCTGCCCCCATTGATGAGGACCTCCATAGGAAAGGAGGGATGGGCTGGCTGGTATCCATGTAGCAGGAAGGCGTAGCGGCCCAGGGTGGGCACGTGGGTGGTGAAGACCACGGTGCCCTGCAGGGAGAGCCAGGATGAGTAGCAGAGCTGTGGGCACCAGAGGCCCGGAGCCAGCCTCACACTGCACGGACCCCCACCCGGACCCCCACAGCTCCGCCCAACACAGCCTCACACTGCACAGACCCCCAGCTGGACCCCCACAGCTCCGCCCAACACAGCCTCACACAGCACGGACTCCCACCTGGACCCCCATAGCTCCGCCCAACATAGGGCACTGACCCCCACCTGGACCCCCACAGCTCCGCCCAACACAGCCTCACAGGGCACAGACCCCCACCCGGACCCCCACAGCTCCGCCCAACACAGCCTCACACTGCACAGACCCCCACCTGGACCCCCACAGCTCCGCCCAACACAGCCTCACAGGGCACAGACCCCCACCTGGACCCCCACAGCCCCACCTGACACACGCTTCTGGCCTGGCCCAGGCCCTCACCTGGGGGTGACGCAGCAGGGTGGGCTCTGTGTCGGGGTCCACGGCAGTGGGGGGTCGAGGCTGGGGGCTAGCAGGGGGTGAACCGGGTGTGAGCTCCTGTGAGTGGATCAGTGGGAGGCCAGGTGGCAGCGGCAGCACCTGGCAGTCCCTGAGCACGACAGGCTGTGGTGGCTTCGGGAAGCGCGAGGGCAGACAGGCGGCACTGGTGGGAGGTGACAGGTGAGTCCTGGACATCTGGCAGCTGGCCCCTCTGGCCCCTCAGCCCCTCCTGGCCCCCACCTGCTAGGGCTGAAGGTGCCATGGTTACTGATGCAGCGGACCCGCGGTTCCACCAACTCTGGGCTGAATTCCTCCACAGGCACCAGAGTGACACCGTGCTGTAAGCAGAGGCCAGAGGCATGATGTCCGTGGGCCAGGTGGACAGGAGATGCAGGTAGCAGGGGGACAGCTGGTCTCGCAGCTCAGGCCCAGGAGTCCTGTCCAAACCTGAGCATCCAACTGCATCCTGCCCTTTTCGTGAAGCCTTCACCAGCAGAAGCCACACAAACCCCATTTCAGATGCAGTACCAAGTGGCATTTCTGGGGCCCAAAGTCCCTCAGGGCTCTTCCCCTGCCACCCTTCCTCTTCCTCCTCCCACCCTCATCTCCTGCTCCACAGGGTGGGGCACAGGTCATGCTCAGCCTGCACAGGTCACCAATAGACACCCCATTCCCTGTGCCGTCACCACAATGCAGGCACGTGGTAAGCAAACACCACAGACCATAACTCACGAAGCCCCAAAGCCAAGGGGAGGGGTTGTCTCAGAACAGGAAGCCGCACACATCCCTGGAAATGATGCTGGCGGGGAGGCAACTCAACAGAGTGCACTCTGACCCGTTCATAGAGTGCTCCAGAACAGGCAACTGACCAATGCTGTCGTGCCAGGAGGTGGCCAGTCTGGGGTCCAAGGGTACGGGGGGTGGGCCCTATTGTTTCGGGGCCGGTGGCACAGAGTTACATAGGGGGACTGTGACCCCAGAGACTTTGCTGGGTCTAAAGCAGCTCGATGGACAGAAGTACAGGTGGAGGGACAGCCGCAGGGCATGGGGATTCTGGGAGAAATATGCAGGCAGCACTAACAGCTGCCTGATTACAAGAACTGGGGATCCCGCCACTGGGTTAGGGTCCGAGGCCTTACCAGGAAGAAGTGTGCCTGCTCAACTGTCAGCCGGACACTGGCCTCTGAGTCAAGGTAGAACACGGCTGGGTGGTCCTGGGTGTCCAGGGCCACACCCCGGCACAGAGTGCTGAGGAAAAGGGGCCATCAGGCACAGGGCAGCCCAGGCAGGGCAAACCACAACAAAGCCACACGCGGGCCCTGCCCAACACCTGCCCTGGCCCCCACCCACCTGTATAAGCAGGGGTGGAGGGTGAGTGTCCCCTGCTGGGAGGCCTGCTGTGGGGTCTGCACGGCCACACCCAGCTCCTGGCGGGCATCTTCATTGGCATACTCCACCACCAAGGCATAGCGGCCTGGCCGCGGCACTGCCACCTGAAGCTGGACATCCACCTGGGGGAGTGCAGGGTGATGAGAGGGTCCTCCAACCTGAGGCCTGGGACAGCTCCATGTGGGGCAGGTGCTGGTCTGAGTCTGTAGAGGCCACAGCTGACCCGTGTACAGACAGGGTCATGTCCATTGGGGGGGCCATGTGTGCCAGGCTCTGCCATCCGGGACCTTGCCTGGCACTGCCCTCACCTGCCCCTGTGTCCTGCCATGGGACATTCATCCCTGGGCCCAGGTCCCACAGTGCCCACCCCCCCATGAGGTCCCAGGACACGCACATCACTGCCCAGGCAGATGGCCAGTGGTGGGTGTGAGGGGCTGAGCTGCTCCGTGGGGCAGGGCCGTGGCAGGCTGTTGTCATGGCGACACAGAGCATCAGGCCCAGCGGCAGAAGGGAAGCCATCCAGGGGGAGGTGGGTGTAGAGGAGGCAGCTGGTGGGACATAGGCTATGGTCAGCACCAGGTGTACCCGGTCCCCAGAGCTGGTAGGGGGTACCCTGGGCACAGAGGTGCCAGCCCCACCCCAATTCTACAGCAGGCCTCACTTTTCCCCAGAGCGCTGGGGGGAGGGGCGGTAGGTACAGGCTTCTGTCACCCGCAGCTGCAGGAGGGCTGCCTCGTAGTAGGCGCTGGGCAGCAGAACCACATAATCCTGCGGAGGATTGGAGGAGGGTGTGAGGTCCACGGCCAAAGGCCCACCCCACCCCTACCCAGGACCCACCTTACCAGGAGCACCCCTTCAGCCTCCACAAGCAGGGCCCAGGTGCCAGGGTTCAGCACAAAGGGCTCTCCAAAGCCTCTCTGGGGCACAGTGACAAAGGCAGGCTCCGTGCTGGGTGGGAAGGCCACAGGCTGGCTCTGCTCTGTGCCTGTGTGGGGGTGGGTAGGGGGTGAGACCCCTGAGCTTAGCCCTTGGGGCCACCCAGGACGTTCCTCCCCCACCCACACATGGCCTGGGGAGCCGGTCGGGGTGGCCTGTGGCCCCACTCACAGTTGGCACAGGTGGCAAAGTTGCCCTCCTCTCGCACAGAGACCCGCCCACTCACGCTCGTGGGCCCTCGGTTGACATAGCGGAAGACGAGCCAGAATAGGTCAGGGGAGGTCAGGTTCAGTCTGGCCACGATTCTGGGCTGGGGTGGGTGGACATCGGGTCACCCTCCCTGGCCACTGTTAGCCTGGTCCCAGCCCTGCCAGGGCCACTGGGCACCCACCTGGATGGGTGTCATCTGCGCGTAGCCCCTCCAGCTAAAGTTCTCAAACTCCAGGGGGTTGAAGCCAAAGCGTAGGGCGTGGCCCTCAGGTGTGGCCGCCTCTTCCAGCTCAAGCCGGAGGTGGTGCAGGTCTGGGAGGTAGTGGTCCCTTGCAGGCCTGGCCACGGCAGGGGCTAGTCAGCCACCATGTCCGGGCAGGGCAGGCACTGACCCTGCTCAGCTGGCCAGGATCCCCAGGGATGGCCAGGCCCTCCATGGAGAGGAACACAGGAAAGCCCAGAGGATAAGCTGTCTCCCCCAGCCCCCTAGCCACATTGGGTGGGACACCTACTCGCTGCAGGTGGGGCCCTGGGTGTTGGGGCGGCACCGGCAGGCACCGGTCCTCGGCTCACAGCTCTGGCCCAGTGCACCGCCCATGTCGCACTGGCAGCCTGTATAGGAGAAAACAGGGTCAGATGCTGCCAGCCCCTGCCTGGCCCCAGGGCTCTCCCAAAGGCCCCAGGCTCAGGACTCTGCCCCACCCCCCATGCACAGGTCCACCCCCCGCCCCCACTTCCCTCAGTCTAGACCAGCAGCCGCTGAGATGCCAATGAGATGCCAATGAGATGCCCTAGGGCTACCTGGGGCTCTTGGGACCACAGAGCCAGGCTGAGGCTAGGACTAATCATCAATACCACACAGGGAAGGGTAGAGGGGAGTAGGCCATGGGTCAGGACAGAGGCCAAGCCCACTTTTCCGCCCCAGCATGGAAACACTGGTTTCCAACACCTGGGTCTGGTCGTGCTTAGGCCCCTCTGTACCCCTGGGCCTTAGCCTCCCTAGTGTGCACTGAGAGAAGGCAGGCCTGTAGTCTGAGGGCTGGGGCAGGCTTACTGCGGCAGCCAAAGTAGTCAGCCCGGTCCAGACCGAAGAAGCCATCCCTGCATGCTGCACATGTCCGCCCACACACGTGGGGCTTGCAGAAACACTGGCCATTGCCCTGGGAACCAAGAGAGAAGGTGGGACAAGGCAGGGAGGGTCCCAACCCCCTGTCCAAAGCTCCTAACCCCCACCTTGGTCCTCAGACTCACCTGCTGGCACTCAGCAACTCCACCCAGCGTGCCCCTGGGGTCGCAGCTGCAGCCTCGGGGGGGGGGGGCAGAACAGGCCTGAGAGCCAAGGGGGGCCAGGGGGCGGGGGGGGGGGCAGGGCAGTGAGTTAGGGATTTAGGGACAGGAGAGTGTGGGGCAGGAGAGCAGGAGGACAGGGAGGGGGGCAGGAGGCCCTTCCCAGACTTCCCTAGCACCCCACATTCCCTCAGAGCAGACTCACGGGTACAGCCCTCAGGGATACTAGGGTTCAGCCCCCAGAACCCAGGTTTGCAGCGGTCACAACTTGGTCCTTCCACATGAGCCCGGCACGTGCAGGAAGGCTGTGTCTAGGACAGAAGGAGACTGCAGGTCCAGGGGTCCCTTCTCTTCTGCCCATGAACCCTCAGCCCCAGAGCTGACAAGGGGCCCAGCAAGCCTCTGGAGTGGGCAGAGGACCAGCCCAGGAGCAAACAGGCCTGAGGCGCCACAACCAGCAGCAGCAAGATAACGCCAGCTCACTGGGCTTGAGACTAGGCCTGGGCCTGCTCCCAACTCCACGTGCACTGGGGCTCACCTCAGGACGGGCAGGATCAGCTGAAGCCAGGCCAGCAGGGTGGCAGGAGCCCACTGTGGGGAAAGAACCAAGCCTCACTACTCCTTGGTGACCAACCCTGCAGACAAGGGCTGCCGGACCCAACTAGAACCCTCAGCCCCCGGGAACTAGAGCGGCACACACACCCGCCATCTGAACAGGCAAGTGCTGCCCCCACCAAGCCCCTCACACCACATGAGACACTTGTGCACCCATGTGGACAAGTGTACAAGTACACACATGAACACACATGACTACCCACTGCGTGTAAACACAAAGAACAGCCATGTGAACAGGTGCTTCAACGCTCAGCACACACGTGTGTCAACATGGGTTGCACACACGTCACTCAGCACAGGGACAGCACGCACGCATGTCACTTGCACACTAGGACAGCACGGATGTGTGTCATTCAGCACGTGGACACACGCAGAGTACGCACACATGTCACTCAGCACACAGACACACACGATCAGCATGCATACGTGTCACTCAGCACAAGGACACACACACGTCACTCAGTATACGGACACACACAGAGGGACCACAGCGCAGAGAGCCAATACGTGAACACAGCACATGGATGTGGTCAAGAACACACGTGACCAGAATCACAGGAAGACACACAGCACGTGAGCAACACACAGACGGGGATGAATGGCACCTGACACATAGCCCTGCCAGCCCGCCTGGCCCAACCTGCTCACCTTCGCAGAAGGGAAAGTTGTAGGCACCGGGGACACACATTTCACACCGCAGCCCAGTCACGCGGGGCCGGCAGCTGCACTGCCCACTCTGGGCATCGCAGGCTGAGTGCAGGGCACCATCCACAGAGCAGTGGCAGGCTGTGGGACAAGGCAGAGTGTGGGCTCGTGGCAGGGGTGGTACCCTCACCACCTTTTCCCAGGCACTCACAGACACAGTCAGGAAAGCCGTGGAAGCCGGGGCTGCATTCCTGGCAGGTGGCACCTGCATAGCCAGGGCGGCAGTGGCACAAACCACCTGCGCTGCAGAGGGGGTCCAGGGCTCCCCGGGGGTCACAGGAGCAGGCTGCAGGGACAATGGGGTCAGGCCCTGGTACAAGGTCACAGTGGCCCAGCCCCTTCTCTGCCTGGCTCTCTGCTCACCATGGCAGTCAGGATAACCGTGGTAGCCTGGATGGCAGTGGTCACAGTGAGGGCCAGCAAACTCGGGCCGGCATGGGCAGTGGCCAGACTCGTCACAGCCTCTGGCCAATGTCCCTACAGGGCTGCAGCCACACACTGCAGAGGAGAGGGGGTGTCATGGCAGGCCTCCAGCTCTACATACCCGTGCCCTCCTGGGAAGGGGGTGTCATGGCAGGCCTCCAGCTCTACACACCCGTGCCCTCCCGGGGAGGCATCACTCACACTGGCAGAGGGGGAAATGGAAGTAGCCAGGGGCACAGCGATCACATGAGGCTCCCTCGAAGCCCAGCCGGCACTTGCACTGGCCTGTGTCAGGGTCACAGTGGCCATCTATCACTCCGGGGCTGGAACACTGGCAGGCTGCAGGGAGGCGGGGCCACACCCTTGGTCAGAGGCGCTGGGCTCCCGACATCCGCCTTGAGGACAGGGAGGTGGTGGGGACGGGGCTGGACTTACGCTGGCAGCCGGGTCCATAGAACCCTGGGGCACAGAGCTCACAGTGGGCACCATGGAAGTTGGGTTTGCACACGCAGCGTCCCACCCGCGGATCCTTCCGGCAGGCGTTGCCCTGGGTCCCGGCAGCACTGCAGTCACAGTCTGGAGGGAGGGGTGGGCACGGATGTCTCAGATGCCCTGCAGACTCCCCACTTCCCCAAACCCCAGAAAACAACTCTTCATGAACTCCTTTCACAACCTTTATACAACCCTAATTAGAAAACTAAAAGAATAAATATTTCAAAAAAGGAAAGCCGGTGTTTGGGAGAAACAGTGGCACGCAGTGAAATGAGGACGGTATAAACATATCTAATCAGTTGTCTGTCATTCGGATTCCAAGTTAACTGAAAGTGTCATGATAAAGAAACATAAGAACAAGATCCTGATGGGCTGCGAAGAAAATTCTTATTTCTTTTTAAAAAAAATTGTTTTGAGACAGGGTCTCACTTTTCACCCTTAGTAGAGTGCTATGGTGTCACAGCTCACAGCAACCTCAAACTCAGGGCTTAAGCGATTCTCTTGCCTCAGCCTCCCAAGTAGCTGGGACTACAGGCACCCACCACAACGCCCGGCTATTTTTGTATTGCAGTTGTCATTGTTGTTTAGCAGGCCCAGGCGGGGTCTGAACCCGCCAGCCTCAGTTCATGTGGCCAGTGCTGTAACCACTGTGCTATGGGCACCCAGTCAAAAATTCTCATTTCTTTACAAATAATTCTAGGAGTTGGGAAGAAGGAACATGTTAACTCATACATGAAAGGAGGGTCATGAATACAATTTAATTTTTACTACTAATAAAAATAAAAGTTCAGTATTTGTCAAACATGTAAGGCTAACCCCCCGTCAGACCAAGAGAACTGGAGGGTCCTCCCCAGAGGGAGCACAGACATCAACACACAAATAAACAGACGGAAACCAAAATACATTGTGTTCTCAAACTAGCAAATGAGAAAAGAAAACATTTAAGCAGAAAGGAGAAATGATACAATAAGGGCAGGACCACGCCCCAGCCAAGGGCAGCAAGGACCACCGAAGCAGCAGGCCATGTCTCCTTCTGTATGATAAAAACCAAACCAGCCCGTTTGTCTAAAAGGAAATGCCAGCCAATGGCTCAGACAGGTGGGAAACCACGAGCTATGTAAGGGGAGCCAGAGAGATGCCAACCCAGAGGTGGGTGGGGACAGAAGTGCCAGCCGGGACAGGACCCGTGGCCATGGCACCAGGGAAACAAAGAGGGATGTCATGTCCTGAGAACTCAGAGACATCCCCAGAGACACAGCAAACATGACCCTCCAGGGCAGGACATACGGGGTCCTGAGGGGCATAAGCCTAAGGCTGTAAACATGGCAAGACCACGGTCAGAGAGAGAGACCGAGCGCAGTGTTAGCATGTGACCACTCACAGAGACACAGACTGAGCAAGGACAGAGGGTTTAAACAGTGTAATACCAACAACCCTGCTTTAATGTGGACAGAAACTGGTACCCCAGAGAGAACACAGGGTCCTGTGGAATATTCACAGAACAATCTGAAAATGGTCATATTCTAGGTGAGAAACAAAGGACATCTCAAATTCCAAAGACAAAAGACAGAAATTGTTGACCCGCGTGGAGGCCCACGCCTGTAACCCCAGCTCTCTGAGAGGCCGAAAAGGGTGGATCGCCTCAACTCAGACCAGCCTGAGCAAGAGTGAGACCTTGTCTCTAAAAATAGCTGGGCATGGTGGTGGGTACTTGGGGGCCTGAGGCAAGAGGAGCACTTGAGCCCAAGAGTTTGAGGTCTCTGTGAGCTGTGACACCATAGCACTCTACTGAGGGCAATAAAGTGAGGCTCCGTCTAAAAAAAAAAAAAGAAAGAGGCAGAAATTGTCACTACACAAACTCTGACCATAATGCAATCAAACTAGAACTGAATAGCCATGAAAAAGGGCAGGAGGGAAATCTCATCACATGCAATAAAAATAGACAGACAAGTCAAAAGAAAAATAAAAACCCAAATTATAGACTATTTAAGAATAACAGTAAGAACACAGCATCTCCAACCCCATTGGATATACCGAACCAAAGCTATACTCTGAGGAAAATGTATAGCTTTAAACTTAGGTTTTCCAACCTCGGCACATTCTGGGCTGGATAATTCTTCATTGCGTGGGCAGGCCCTATCCTGCGGGTTGTTATAGGATGTCAGCAACACCCCTGGCCTCTACTCACCAGACAACAGTTACGTACCCCAATTATAACAACCAAAAATGTCTCTAGACGTTATCAAATGTATCCCGTGGACTAAAATCATCCTGAACTGAGAATCTTTGCTTTAAACATTTTTGTTGATAATTAAGCGAGACAGAAAGTAGTAATTTAAGATGTGAGGGGTGGTGCCTGTGGCTCAAAGGAGTAGGGCACCGGCCCCATATGCTGGAGGTGGCAGGTTCAAACCCAGCCCCGGCCAAAAAAAAAAAAAAAAAGACATGAAAAAAAATTAGTAAGTCAAAGAAAATGTGTAAAAAGAATGAAATGTTTTATTTCAAAGTTTATCATATTAGAAAAAAAAGCTCTCCCCTAAACATAACAGAAAACACCAGAAGATCTTATCAGCTATGCTTTGAAAACACCCATAAATGTAAGAAACCTCTGTCAGTTCCAATCAACAAAGAAAAGAAAAACAGATAATAAAAAGGAAAGGAAATTTAAAAATTACAACAGGATGTTGAACATAACCATATGCTGCGACGTTAAAGAAATCTAAATAAAGTAGACAATTTGCAAAGAAAATATAAATAACCAAAATTGACTTAAGATGAAATAGAAAACTTAATAAACACAATAGCCATAAAAGAAATTAAAACCTTAATCTAAAATCTCCACCCGTTTTTTAAAGTTAGGTTCCATCAAACTTTTTTTTTTTTTGATACAGAGCCTCAAGCTGTCCCCCTGGGTAGAGTGCCGTGGCATTACAGCTCACAGCAGGCAGGACAAAACTCCTGGGCTCAAGCCAGTCTCCTGCCTCCGCCTCCTAAGTAGCTGGGACCACAGGCGCCCGCCACAACGCCCAGCTATTTTTTTTGGTTGCAGCCGTCATTGTTGTCTGGCGGGCCCGGGCTGGATTCAAACCCACCACCTTACGTGTATGTGGCTGGCGCCCCAGCCACTTGAGCCACAGGCGCCAAGCCGTTCCATCAAACTTTTAACAAACAGATAATTTCTGTGATTTTTTTTTTTTTTTGGCTGGGGCTGGGTTTGACCCCACCACCTCCGGCATATGGGGCTGGCGCCCTACCCTTTTAAGCCATAGGAGCCACCCAATAATTTCTGTGATTTTTAAACAGACCTGGAGTTTAAGAAAGTAAGGATCGGGTGGTGCCTGTGGCTCAAGAAGTAGGGCGCTGGCCCCATATGCTGGGGGTGGTGCGTTCAAACCCGGCCCTGGCCAAAAAAAACAAAAACTGCAAAAATAAATAAATAAATAATTTTTAAAAAGAAAGTAAAGATCATTTCTCAAGTATTTGTTAAGTCCAAAACAAGACATCGTTTATCCAGCCTCACGAATGCAGACATAAGACGACCTTATGTCAACACCAGGTCCCCGTTAGGAAAGATATTAACATAATTATACAATGAACATAATATTAAAAGTGAGACACTACACAACCACCAGTAATCACTGAGTACTTACCAAGGGCCAATGGGGAAAGGAGAAAATCTTCAGTATTTACACCAGGGATTAGCAGACCACAGTCCCTGGCTCCTCAGCCTGCTTTCACAAACAGAGCGTTGCTGGCAGGTGGACAAGCCCACATGTGTCCCACCACTGCTTCCGAGGTGCAACCCACAGCTGTGAGCCGAGTCCTTCCCACAGAGACCACATGGCCCTCGAAGGCTACAGCATTTATTGTCTGGGCCTTTTCAGAAAACATTTGCGGCTCGGCGCCTGTGGCTCAAGTGGCTAAGGCACCAGCCACATACACCTAAGGTGGCGGGTTCGAATCCAGCCCG